GGGCTGTGGGACTCGGGCGTGGCATCACCGCCTCCCTCCCCAGGGCTTCGTGGCGGCCATCTCCCCCTTCAACTTCACTGCCATCGGCGGCAACCTGGCAGGTGCGCCGGCCCTCATGGTAAGATGTGGGTGCAGGAGGGTGGCAGGTCGTCTGCTGGGTCCCAACAGACAGGCTGCCCCAGGCCCCCCAGGTCCCAGCCTGGCAGGGAAGAAGCACAGGAGGAGGGGGCTGCTGGGCTGTGATGGGCTTTGGGTCAGAGACCCAGATCCAATCCCAGCTTCGCCCTGCTCTGTCTGGAGGGCCTGGAGAGGCCCTGGGCTTCTTTGAGGTGCAGGAAAAGAGTGCCTCTCTGACAGGGTCATGAGAGTCAAATGAGATGCAGTTGGCCTCTGGTAGGCTGAGTGCTGGTGACTCTGCCTGTGGTGATAATTGTCCCTCCCTTTGGGTGCTGACCATGTGCCTCCTACTGCGAAGTGCTGCTCACGGAGCCTCTCATCTCGTTCTCAACAGCTCCCAGGGGGCATCTGTCCTGATGCCCCTTGGTCAGATGTCAAGGCAGCCACACAGTGGTGACTTGCTTGTCCAGACTGAGGACTAGGAAATGATGGGGCAGAGTAGGTTCTGGACCTAGTCTGTGTCGGAGCTGGTGGTCTTAAGTCATCAGGCTTCTCTGCAAGGAGAAGTGAGGGTGGCTGTCACCTAGTGAGTTCCCAGGCCCCTAGGCAGGCGAGGGCACACACGGTCCTCCGGGGCTCTGGGCCCCAGGCAGGGCTGCTGGACACTGATGTCCAGGCATGGGCCAGATACGTGCCCAGGGTGTCCTCGTGCGTCTGTACCCAGACAGACGCACCCAGGAGCCATGAGCCTGGCTGCCACATGTGCCCCAACCCAGGACCCGTGCAGAGAGAGCCGGTGCGCACTGGCCCAGCCATGCCCAGTGAGCACGCCGTGACTCCATAACACCAAGGACGGGCCTCCCCATGGAGTCAGCAGGACCAGTCATCACAGCCTTTGGGGAAAGGGAGCCTTGGCCAGAGTGTGGGGCAGCTGGGCCGTGGCCTCCTTGGCAGGGGATCCTGGAGACAGTGCCTGGCACTTGGAGGAGTGAGGTTGGGTAGGGGACAGGGGTGTCCTGACGGGCACAGGGCTGGGTGGTTCCAGGTAAGGGGTGGTCAGAGTTGGTGGCCCCAGCTTCAAGTCACAGTCATGCCTTCTGGGCAGGGCAACGTGGTCCTGTGGAAGCCCAGTGACACTGCCGTGCTGGCCAGCTATGCTGTGTACCGCATCCTCCGGGAGGCCGGCCTGCCCCCCAACGTCATCCAGTTTGTGCCTGCTGACGGGCCCACGTTCGGGGACACCGTCACCAGCTCTGAGCACCTGTGCGGCATCAACTTCACAGGCAGTGTGCCGTGAGTCCCTGGGGTGGGGCAGGGTGGGCGATGGCCGGGGGAGGGTCACATGGTCCACCCAGGAGCCAGGGCTGTGAGTCCAGGGGCCATGCACTGGCCCTGCTCACTTACAGATGTGTGGCCGTGGGCAGGCCACTTCACCTCTCTGAGCCTCGGTTTCTTCACCAGCCCAACAGGGGTGATAGTCTCACCTGGCCGAGCAATTGTGAGGATTAAATGAGTTCTAGCTTTGCCGGCTGGAAGGGCAGCCTACAGGTGCCAGGTGAGACTGGTTTCAGTGCCACCCCTGCTACTGGGAAGGGCACCGGGGAGCATGGTGAATTGGAGGAGGAGTCAGGAAGGCTTCTTGGAGGAGGTGGCATCTAAGCAGAGGAGTCAGCCAGACAGAGGAAGGGGCCGGGGAGAGTGTTCTGGGAGCGGGAATAGCGTGTGTGGAGGCCTCAAACAAAAACGTGTGCTCCAGGGCATGGTGGCATCCGTGTGGCTGCGGGGGTTTGTGATGAGGTGGTGGGTGCAGGTGGCTGCCTGGTCTCACCACTCACTCACTGAGCTGGTATTAGTGGGGCCCAAGTCTGCAAAAGTGTCTGACTTTATCCCGAAGGTGACAGGAGACATGGAAACTTTCTTTTTTACTTTTTTTGAGTCAGGAGTCTCACTTTGTTGCCCAGGCTGGAGTGTAGAGGCACGATCATGGCTCACCGAAGTCCAACTTTCTAGGCTCAGGTGATCCCTCTGCCTCAGCCTCCCAAGTAGCTGGAACTACAGGTGTGAGCCACCACACCTAATTTTTAAATTTGTTGTAGAGATGAGGTCTCGCTAGTGCCCAGGCTGGTTTCATACTCCTGAACTCAAACAGTCCTCCCACTTCGGTTTCCCAAAGTGCTGGGATTACAGGCATGAGCCACCACACCTGGCCCAAGGGAGCCACAAAAGGTTTTAAGCAGGGAGAGTGGCCGAAGTATAGGGAAATCAGGGTGTAGACAGTGGGGATGGCGAGGAGGGTGGGTTCTAGACGGGAGGTAGCAGGGAGGCATGGTGCCCGCTGCCTGTCCGTGGGGTCAGGGTGGGCAGGAGGGCAGTCAGCAGGAAGGTGGCCTTGGGCAGAAGGGGGCACCATGGTGATGTAGATATATGGTGCCCTTGGGCATCAGGGTGGGTCCTGGAACAGCTAGCGGGCATGGGGGAAGACAACCATGTGGTCACTTTGACTTTGAGGTGCCCGCGGGTCATCTGGGAGATGCCAGGAGGCAGCCAGATGTCAGGGCTGCAGCTTGGGACTCCTGGGGGGTCTCCCACCTCCTCTGCTGGGCCCCAGGTCCTGCCACCCCCTTCCCCGCCCAGGCTTGCGGGCGAGGGTGGCCGCTTTAGAACTGCTGAGGAAGACTGTTTCCCACAAGGCCTGCTCAGCCCGCCGCAGTCCCGCGGGTCCCCGCCTATTAGCGGGCAGAGCGGGCCTGGCCCCCATTTGCCACGCTCTGATGAGCAGCGGGCTTAAAGGTAGGAAAGTCATAAATTAGTATTAGCTACTGTGTCGCTGCCTCCCGGCTGATTAGCATTTTTATTGTTTTGTGGTGCTGAGGTTGGTCACACTTGGAGCCTGGTGAGGAGGCGGGGCTCACCAGGGTGGCAGCTTAGGGCAGGGGCCTGGGCTCCCTCTCCCGGGACCCTCCTCGGTCGGGTCCCGGGCACTGGGCCCGGGAGCCCCTCATAGACCACAGCAGCGTCCCTTCCCAGTAGGCGCCCAGAGTGTGCTCAGCACGGTCTCACACCCTCCACTCGCCTTCCAGCTAGTCACAAAACAGCCCTGCCGGGTGGGGACTGTTCTCTCCAGGACCCAGATGAGGTGCCGCGTGTGAGGTTCAGAGAGGTTGAGATGAGTCCAAGACCACACAGTGCTGAGTGTCTGTGTCAGGAATGGAGCCCGTACCTCCTGGCTGCAGAGCCTGGGTCTCTCTGCACCGACTCGCTCCCTCCTCGCTCCCTCCCAGAGGCGGACTGCAGGCGCTTGGTTCCCCTCTACCGACGCCCGCCCACCTCCTGCCTGGCTGCAGACCCCAGCACCCCACCCTGGGCTGTTCCTTTCCCTCCTCCGGGCCTGGCTCCCTGATCCCGCCCTGTCCTCTGGTTCCAGCACCTTCAAGCACCTGTGGAAGCAGGTGGCCCAGAACCTGGACCGGTTCCGGACCTTTCCACGCCTGGCGGGAGGTAAGGACCCCCTCTCCCTGCCCCCTGAGCCCCTGTGGCCCTAGGACCCCTCCCCTGGCCATAATGAAGGAGAAGGAGATGGAGGTGATGCTACCCAGGTTAGGTGACAAATGGCCTCAGGCTCCAGCACTGCCTGGGAGCATTTCTGCCATGGAGGAAGCGTTCCCGGCTCTGGCTCTCCCATCTGGCATCCCCTGGCCACACATCCAGCCCTCACCAGGTGGCCCACATGACTGAATGGCATAGTTAGTTGTCCTAAATTTTAATTACGCTAAATTTCAGTCGCCGCGTGTGGCTGGTGGCTACTGTGTCAGGCAGCGCTGGCTAAGCAGAGGCCCAGGTGGGAAGAAGCTTGTATTTGGAGAAATGAGATCAGGCCCACATAGCTGGAGTAGGGAGGGAGGAAGGCTGGCAGGAGATGGGGCCAAGAGGTCGCAGGGCCAGATCTTGCAGGCATATTAAGATTTTCCCAAAAAGAAACGGTTTCATGGTCAAGGAAGTTTGGCATGCGCCATGTTAAAGCAAAAGGGATTCCTCTCCCGCAGGACTTCTCAGAGGCTTTAATGCTATAATATGCATTGCACATCTTCAGGGGCAAGGTCTGCCAGGCAGTGTTTCCCAAACTCTCTGGGCCACAGAACCCTGTTTTGCTGAGGGTCCCTGGACCAAGTGTTTTGTGGAACACACTTTGGGAAAGTGTTGAGCCCCGGAGAGAGGAGGGGTTCCTGGGGCACGCGGCACATGAACAGCAGGGCTGGGTGTTCTTGCCCCCGGGGAGCAATAGGGCCCGTGGGGGAGTCTGGACCCTGTTCCTGAGCTGGTGGGAGCTGGGGTGGGGTGTCGGGGAAGATGGGCTTCAGGTCAGCTGCTGCATCGCCTGCTTCTGGGCCCCCCAACCCTGGTCGACCTTGATGAGGACGAGGAGCCCCTCAGGGAAAGCTCTGTGTGTGGCTTCCGGCTCTCAGCCTGCTTCCCATGGACTGCTGTTTTCCTCTTCCCGACTGGGGACACGTGCCTTCTTCTTTGAACCTTGATGTTCTTGTCTCTAAATTGAGAATAAGAATGGGAGACTATTGTGAGGCTTCACAGCGTGCTTGTTTGAGTCTGACAGGTAGTGAGGACTTTCAGCTGCTATTAACGGGTGTTTCCCATGAGTGGGAAACTGAGGCTGGAGCGTGAAGGGATCCACCAACAGCTCCCTCACACTGAGGAAACTGCCGAGTGGGTGGGGAGGGGGGCCGGCTCTGGCAGCTGACGTGGATGAACTCCCCTCTCCCGCCGGGCGAGGGGTCAGAGGAAGCCCCAGAGAAAGCTGTGCCTACTTCCAGGGATAGATAGGCGCTTGGGAGCCCTGGGTCCTGGTCCTTCCTCTGCTTTTATGTTGGGCGGTGTCAGTTGGACCTGACAATCTCTCATGCCCTTCACCCTTCCCTGGGTCTCAGTTTTCTTGTCTATAGGGTGGAAGAACAGGCTGGCTTGTGGGTCTCCGGGACACTGGCCGCCCCGCTCTAGTCCACTCAGTGCTGGTGTGGGCCATGCCAGGGTCGGACGCAGGCAGGCCTTGGCCCCGGGGGGCTGGGGGAGCCAGGTTCCCATCATCCCCCCCGCCTCCCCATAGAGTGCGGTGGGAAGAACTTCCACTTTGTGCACCGCTCGGCCGACGTGGACAGCGTGGTGAGCGGGACCCTGCGCTCGGCCTTTGAATATGGCGGCCAGAAGGGCTCTGCCTGCTCTCGCCTCTACGTGCCGCGCTCGCTGTGGCCCCAGATCAAAGGGCGGCTGCTGGAGGAGCACGGCAGGATCAAAGTGGGCGATGTGAGTGGCCCGGCAGGGGGCTGATGGGATTGGGTCCCCCAGGCTGGTGTGCGGGAGGGGCTCTGTCTCTCCACAATGCCTTTCTCCCATGTCTCTTCCTTGCCTCCAGCCCGCAGAGGATTTTGGGACCTTCTTCTCCGCGGTGATTGATGCCAAGGTACCGGCAGGAAGCGGCATCCTGGGGCGCTGAGGAGGAAGGGACGGACGGGGGGGACCTGACCTGGGGCAGCCCAGCCCCCCGCTTTGATCAAGGCAGCTTGATAGCCAGCCTGGAAAGGGCAGACTCGCCCGTGACCAGAGAAAGATTGTGTCCCCCATGCCCTGGGTGCACAGGTGGCCATGCATGTCCACAAAAATGTTCACACAGAGCTCTGTGTGGCCGTGCATGCAGGTCGACCCACACAGACACACACATATCCGTGTGTACACAGGCCCACGCATGTCTCCATAAGCAAGTCCACCCAAGTGCACACACACGCATAAAGCATGTGGATACCTACGTGCTTAAACGTGAAGACACATGGCCATGGTATGCCTACATGTATGTTACCTAGGTGTGTGGGTATGTTTGTATGTGAGTACACCTATAGTTCACCATATGTACACGTGTATGTATGCATGTGTGTGCGCGTCTGTCCCTGTTTCTGCCATGGCTCAGCCAGACCCTGGCTTTTGCCCTCAGCGCCCCCCATTTTAGAACTTGAGCCCCTCAGGCGTGGGTGTTTTGGGGTGAGGGTGTGGGACTGTTGCCGGGGTGACCTCCCTGCCTTGACCCCTCCCCTCCCAGTCTTTCGGCCGCATCAAGAAGTGGCTGGAGCATGCCCGCTCCTCCCCCAGCCTCACCGTCCTGGCGGGGGGCAGCTGTGACGACTCGGTGGGCTACTTTGTGGAGCCCTGCATCGTGGAGAGCAAGGACCCGCAGGAGCCCATCATGAAGGAGGTGACGGGGCGGGCAGCCTGGAGCCCAGGCGGGGACGGTTTCCCCCAAGCGGAGCACATGCCCAGGGCACTCACACGCCTGTTCTCGAGACATCCCATTTCACAGAGGAGGAAGGGGAAGCCCTGGAAGGGAATGTCTCTCCCTGGAGTGTGCTACGCCAGGTTTAGAGCTCAGGCCACCAGACTCTAGATCCAGTGCCCTGTCCTTGACCCTGACCAGGGTCCTGGCACTTCCTCTGCCCACAACAACCATGGCCACTGCAGCGATTGTGACAACTGACACTTATGAACTCTTATGGTGGGCTGGCCACAGTGGGGCACTTGGCTGAGGTGAGGCAGGCGTCATTATTCCCGTTTTACAGTTGAGAAACCGAGGCTCCCAGAGGTCAAGCCACTTGCCCAGAGAGGCAGTGCAGGGCTGGGGACTGCGAGAGGAGGAGGTCTTCCCCAGCCCCTTGGTGGCAGAGGGGACCACACACCCTCCTGGAGGCAGCGGCATCACCAGGCAATTCCCGGGCCAGTTGCTGCCAGAAGCCTCCCGTTTCCCAGCACCTGGACCCTTTGTTCTCAGTGTGGGTTTGACAGGGTGGCCGGAAAGCTTTTGTATCTTTTTTTTTTTTAAGAGATGAGGCCTTGCCAAGTTGCCCAGGCTGGTCTCGAACCTATGCGCTCAGGCAATCCTCTCACCTCAGCCTCCCAAAGTGCTAGGATTATAGGCGTGAGCCACCTTGCCCGGCCTAGCTTTTGTATCTTTTGGCAGGTTGCAGTGGAGTGGGCTGGGCAGGGAGCTGGGCATGTGGCTATCCTGGAGGGAACCCAGGAGAAGGCACCTTCTGGCAGAGGCCGAAGTGTGGACTGAAGCCCAGGGAGAAGGGAAGGGGGCCATAGCAGGGATTCTGGGAAGGCTGAGGGCACTGGCCCCGTGGAGGGTCTGACCCCAGGGCCTCTCTCCCAGGAGATCTTCGGGCCTGTGCTGACTGTCTATGTCTATCCTGACGACAAGTACGAGGAGATACTGCGGCTGGTCGACAGCACCACCAGCTATGGCCTCACGGGGGCAGTGTTCGCCCAGGATAAGTGAGTGGCCCGGTCAGGACCCGCACGGTCATCCTGATGTCCTGCTCCCGCCGGCTCAGCCCATCCCACCTCCTGGACAGGCTCTGGCTGACGATGCCGCACCTGCCTTCTTCCTTCCCCTCCCTCTGCTCTGACGGGTGGCAGCCTCTCAGCACAGGCCCACACAGGCGGGATCCCCCCACAGGCGGGATCCCCCCAGGGACCCCTGAATCCGGGCCTCTGGGGGCAGCCGGGAGCTGGTACTTTGAATGGGCTCCCTGGAGGTGATGGAGCCCACTGAGGAGCCCCGTGCACAGAGTAGAAATGAGGCTCGCGGCCAGGGCTCACTGCCAGTCCTGCAGAGGCTGGATTCGGACTTGGGTCCTGTGAGTCTAGGCCTGAGGCTCTGCCTTCCCCATCCTCCAGGGCACTAGTTGCTGCTCCGTGTGTGCCTTGTGAGAGAGTGGGGGTGGCCTTGGCGCTTGGGGCGGGGGCTTCGTGCCCCCTGCTCCCGGGGGACCAGGAGAATTGGACTCCGGTGTGAGCTGGCTCCCATCCTCCCATTTGAACCTGGCAGTGCCCTGTGAGGGAGGCATGCTGCCTCTCCTCTCCAGAGAAGGAAACTGAGGCAGAGGCTGAGTCACTCGTTTGAGGGCCTTTGGCCAGGGGTGGCCAGTGGCTCTGTCCCAGATGCAGCCTAGGCTTGGCCTGGAAAGCCCACGTGGCTGGGGCGGGGGCGTTGCGGGTGGACCCTGGGGCTGGTGGGGACGGGGGCTGTTGGCCTCTGACCCCTGCCCTGTGCGTAGGGATGTCGTGCAGGAGGCCACAAAGATGCTGAGGAACGCCGCTGGCAACTTCTACATCAATGACAAGTCCACTGGCTCCGTGGTGGGCCAGCAGCCCTTCGGGGGCGCGCGGGCCTCTGGTGAGTGTGTTCCCCTCCCCCGAGGGGAGCCAGGTTCCTGGTGGGAGGCCCTCGGACCTTCATCCTGAGCACTCGCTGTGGGCCTGGAGACCACGAACTCAGGGTCCTTTCAATGGCCTCGTGAGTGAAGGCTGTCGTCCCGTCTTACAGGGGAGGATACTGAGGCAAGGGGGCCGTGACTTGCTCAGGGACACATGGCTGGGAGGTGGTGGGGCTGGGACCTTGGCTCCAGCGCCCACGCTTTTCCCACCATGCCCATTTGTTCAACTTCACAAGTGGGGAAACTGAGGCCCAGAAGGGTGTTGACTAGCCAAAGGTTACTGCACCCAAGTGGCAGAGTGAGCCAGCGCCGAACACAGGTGGGTGGGGGCTTCCCACACCAATGGATTCTCCAGTTCTTGGGGGACACCCACGGGCTTAAGACCCTACAGGTTAAGAACTCAGTCCCCCAGGCTACCCCCAATCAGATGCCAGTCACAAGAAGCAGGTCCTCAGGTTACCCACACCTGTGTCGGACTCAGCTACATGTCAGGAGTTCCCCCAACCCCCTTCCTAATAATTTGCTGGAGCGGCTTGTGGAACCCAGAGAAGGTTGACCTGCTATTTCCAATTTACTGCAGAGGATATTTTAAAGGAGACGGATGAAGAGGCACTCAGGGCAGAGTCTGGAAGCTTCTGTCCCCGGGGACTCTGGGCTGTGCCACCCTCCGGCATGTGGATGCTCTCTGTGGAACCCTGTCCTTTCAGGTTTCTATGGAGATCGTCACATGGGCATGGCTGATGAGTCGCTGGCCTTCTGTGGCTAGCTTGCCTTCAGTCCCTCGACTCTCTCGCGCTGAGCGTTCCAGCCCTCTAGTCCTAGGGGGCCCCTCTGCCAACCATCCTTCCTCTCCCCCGCTCCCTGCACATCACCCCATTAGCATAAACTCAGGTGGGGCTGGAAGCAACTTCTTTGGAATAACAGGAGTTGCTCCTGTCACCCTGTCTTTTGGGAAAGTCCAAGACCTTAGGCGCTCTGGCGGGAGCCAGGGCTAAAGGCCAACCATGGACTTCCTGTGGCAGCCCTCTGTCACACTGGGGCTCTGGCTCCCAGTGCAGTGCTCTCTTCACAGCCCACTCCGCCTCCTAGAACCCCTGCTAGGGGTGCCCCGGCTGTACCAGCCTCTCTGTCCCAGCAAGGAGGCAGGGCCTCCTGCCTATCCCTGCCTGGGGTGCAGATTCTTCTGTGCATCCCAAGCTCAACAGCTGGTGCTCGTTTATTTTGTCATTCCTCCCCCAAACTTCTGTATCTTTGTTTTGTTTGTTTTGAGTTTGAGTCTCACCCTGTCACCCAAGCTGGAGTGCAGTGGCACGCTCATGGCCACCGCAGCCTCGACCTGCTGGGCTCAGGTGATCCTTCTGCTTCAGCCTTTCAAGTAGCTGGAACTACAGGCGTGTGCTACCACTCCTGGTTAATATTTTTTTTTCATTATTTGTTTAATATAGACACAAGGTCTCACTAAGTTTCCCAGGTTGGTCTCAAACCCCTGGTCTCAGGTAGTCCTCTCACCTCTGCCTACCAAAGGGCTGGGATTACAGACATGAGCCACCGCACCCAGCTTTTTTTTTTTTAAATTAAAAAAATTCTTTTTAGAGATAGGATCTCGCTCTGTCATCCAGGGTGGAGTGCAGTGGTGTGATCACAGCTTACTGGGTCCTCGACCTCCTGGACTCAAACGATCCTCCCACCTCAGCCTCTTGAGTAGCTGGGATTATAGGTGCATGCCACCAAGCTCAGCTAATTTTTTGGGGGGGTAGAGATCCCGATCCCCTAGTGGCTTGCTATGTTGACCAGGGTATTCTCAAACTCCTGACCTCAAGTGATCCTCCTGCCTTGGCCTCCCAAAGTGCTGGGATTACAGGCATGAGCCACCACACCTAGCCTTGTTTTATCTTTTCAGAGAAAAACAGAACTGTCTTTTCCACAGGAACCAACGACAAGCCAGGGGGCCCCCACTACATCCTGCGCTGGACATCACCTCAGGTCATCAAGGAGACCCACAAGCCCCTAGGGGATTGGCGCTACTCATACATGCAGTGAGCCCAGCTGGGTGCTCTGCCGTCTGCCTGTCCGACCGTCTGTCCGTCCAGATGACTGGCCTCACTGCACTGGCCCCGCCCCATCCCCTCGGCCCCTTTCTTGCGGACGGCCCCCTTTCCAGATACCCCCTGCCACTGGCCTGTATTCTGTCCCCTGGCCTCTGGTTTGAGACCCTGTGGGGAGGAACGGGTCCATGTACCCATCCCATCGGCCATCCTAGAGACTCCATCTGTGGGGATGACCTTGGTGCCTGGCAGGTCCTCCCTCTCCCCTCCATCGGGGCCTAGGGGATCAGGGACCTGCGGAATGTGATGGGCTGCTCTTGGGATCCTTTGTGGGAGACGGAGGCTGCTCTGGGCTCCTGGGCAAACCTCACCACCCGCAGAGGCTCCTGGCCCGGCCCAGCTCTTGCAGGTGTCCAGGGTGAAGAGTGACTCGGCGTGGCCTGCAGGGCACAGGTGGCGCCAGCCAGCCCTGCCCTCTCTGGCCTGGGCTGCCTGCCTTGGTCACTCTGTCTTTGCCCAGACCCTCCTGAGCCAGCAGCGTCTGCACCCAGCCACAGCCTTAGCGACACCTGTGCCAGCCATTTGCCTTAGACACCTGAATGCCTTTCTCAGGGTGTCTATGACCCTGAGCTCCGCATGGTTGTGGTTTCTGGCCTGCTCAATGTGGTGAGGCTGAGGGGCCACGGGAGGCGACCTGCCAAGGGGTAGGGCAGGGCGGACCTTCTCCTTTGGTCTGTGATTGGGGAAGCCTGGGTGGATCTTCGTCCTGCTTCCGCCTGCCTCAGCTTATCTGGTCCTGCCTCTAAGGGTGTCCCAGGGCCAGTCTCAGGGCCCCTCCCACCTCCCAGGCCCCAAAGCCTCAGCTTGGGTTCCCATCGGCCCATGGGACAGGCTAGGACATTCTGTGGGGTCTTCCCTCCTCAGCATGGGAGTGGCTCTGTGTGGGCTGACCCTCAGTGGCCCACCTTCAGGGTGGGTGCAGGTGCCACCTGGGCCGGGTCCTTCCAGGTCTGTGTCATTTCCCACGGGGGTTGGGGCGGGTGGCCGGGGGCCATGGCCAGAGGCGTTCCTGATGCTACTGGTTCTATACCGGATTCACCCCGATGCCACCCAATAAAATGGCTGTTACTCCATCAGAGTGGTTGCGGGTCCTTCTGGTGGGGTGGGGGGGCGGCCGACATCTCCCAAGCCTGATGGCATTGCCAGTGTATTATTAGGTTGCGGGGCACAGCACCCTCTGTATGATGGAGGGAGGGTGAGCACAGCTGTTTGTGAGTACCTGCTGGAGGCAGTGAGGACTCTGGAACCAGACAGGCTGAGCTCAAATCCTGGCTCACCGCCTCCCAGGCTGGGGATCTCCAAAAGGATATGCAACCTCTCTGACCTGTTTCTTCGTCTGTTTGTTTGTTTTCCTAGAAAGACAGGTCTCACTATGCTGCCCAGGTGGTCTCAAACTCCTGGGCTCAAGCAATCCTCCCATCTTGGCTTCCCAAAGTGCTGGGATTACAGGCATGAGCCACTGCGCCTGGCCCTGTCTCTTCATCTGTAAAATGAGGATAATCCCCTCAAACTCACACACATGGGTTATCATGAGAATTTAATTAATTCATGTCAGTACTTTGGATAGTGCCAGACACATAATGATTTTAAAATGTTACCTATTTACCCATTTTTGTTGTAGCAGCCACTATCATGGGCTGTGATATTAATAGTCAATTTTATGTATCAACTTGGCTGGGTCATGGTTCCCAGATATTTGGTCAAACATTCTGGATGTTTCTGTGAAAGTTTTTTTTGGTTGAGATTAAAATATAAATCAGTGGACTTTAAAGCAGTTCACCATTCATACTTGTTCAGTCCATTGAAGGCTTCAATAGAATGAAGAATGAGCTCTCCCATTCGGGAGGGAATTCTGCCACCAGATTGACCTTGGACTTGGATGACAGCTCTTCCCTGGGTCTCCAGCTTGCTGACCTACTATGCAGATGCTGAACTTGGTAATGTTACTCCACAATCGTATGAGCCGATTCCTTAAAGTCAGTCTCTTGCTCTGGTTGGTTCTGTTTCCCTGGAGAACCCTGACTAATGTGTGTGCCAAGGACTTGCATGTTTCCTCATTCACAACAGCCATATAGAGTCAGCACTGCCATGCTCCCATTCTGCAGATGTGGAATCTGAGGTACAGAGTGTTCCAGGGACTTCCCAGGGGTGTGGTACTGCTAGAATTAAACCCAGGTCTATCTGTTCCAGAGCCCACCCTCCCTCCTTCATCCAGATGTTCATACCCAGCGCTGAGTTGCCTGGAAAGACCCCCTCAGTCAGCCAGTGAGGGCTCGAGGGAGCTACGGGCCGGTTAGCTGGAGTCCAGATCTATGGGCCCACGCACAGGGCAGCTGACTTGGGGATGGGAAAATGTGTGTCCTGGCTTGTCCCTGCCTGCAGATAACGGGAAAAGGGCTCTTTTCTAAGCTATATCGACACTTCTGGGGTCAAGGCACAGCTCCCAGAGTGCCCCGGGCTGGAGCCCCCAGAAGGGAAGGGTGGTACCCGTGGCCCTGCTCATGTCTGTGAAGGGATGGGGTGACTTGGCCAAGATCACAGCGAAATGGAAGCAGAGCTACTCCTTACTGCTGAGTGCTGTGCCCACCTGGCCTCATGGGTCCTGGAAAGTGACCTTCCCTGGTAACCGTGACAGGGCCAAGTGAGGTCAGAGCAGGAATGACCAGCCCGTGCAGCTGGTAAACTGGGACTCGAACCTAGGTCTGCGAGTGCTGGTGTCCAGGCTCCTTGCTGCCTGCTCCGTGGGCCCGACTTCCGGGCACTTCTTCCACCCCTGCTGTCTTAACCTGCCTTTTTCCAACCCACCACCTTGAGCTCCTTTGGAGCTAGGGCCAGGGTTGACTCAGCACCTTCTCACCTGTCCCCTTTCTCCCACTCTCCCTTGTGCCACCCGGGGGCTGGTGGCTCTCGAGGACCCACTGCCTGCCCTGCATGGTCATCTCACTCAGTCCCTGCATCTGCAGCGACCCAGGCAGCCTCTTCATTTTCCTGCTGTGGCTGGGGGCCAGCCGCAGGCCCGGGCTTGGAGCGTGGACCATTTGACTGAGGCCGGACATCCCTGCCACCGCTGTCCCACGGGCTATCGGTCGAGCGTGCATGCTAAGGAAATGAGGGGCCACCTGTGCCGGCTCCTGGCCACCAGGCCGGTCCAGAGTTCCTGGGGGGTGGGAAAGGGGGACAGGAGGTGGCAGGAGCCAGACCCACCCATTTCACTAATTCATCCACCTGCCATTCATTGTCATACTTCCTGCTTGTTCCATTTAAGGGCCAGATGAGTAAATCATAGCAGTGATAATAACAGCCACCACTGCCTGAACACAAGCCGTGTGCCAGGCACTGCATTAGATGTTTTGGACATCATAGTCTCAGATTCTCCCAGCAACACCATGAAGCGTGTACAGTTACTCTCATTTTACAGACGAGAAAACAGAGGCACCAAGAGGTTAAGTGACTAATACACCTGTAGGAAATGAACGAAATTTCAGTCCCATGTCTCTGACTGCCAGGCCTCTGGTCATAACCACAGCTGTATAGCCCCCAGAACTAGACAGGCAGGGGCGCAAATCCTAGCCTTAACCTCTCGCCCCTATGCCTTGACCTCTTAGCTTCAGATTTCTCAGGGAGCTGAGGATCGGAAGACATATTTAAAACCAAACGGAGGGTAATGGCACATGTCTGTAGTCCCAGTGACTTGGGAGGCTGAGGCAAGAGGATCGCTTAAGCCCAGGAGTTTGAGACCAGCCTGGGCAACATAGCAAGACCCCATCTCTACAACAAAAGAAAGTGCCACGCCCCGTGCCCTTGTCAGAATGAGGTGCTCAGTCAATGTGAGCTTTTACTTTTCAACTTTACCCCTTCTTTGCCCTGGATATGTGGGTGCCCAGGAGGTCGGCGATGAAAGGCTGGTGCAGGTGCCAGTGATGGGGCTGATGGGGAGCTTGCTGCTGCTCAGAGCAGGGCGGTTCCTGAGAGGCAGCTGTGGTTTCTTGGAGGGGAAGCTCAGACGGGGCCTTGAAGGGGGAGCAGGGCTTGGCTGGGCTGGGGTCTGGATGGGCACTGGGCTTTCAGTCCCCCTGTTGTCTCTTGAGGCCTCCACCCATCAGACCCCCACAGCCGGGACATGCCGGGCACTGATCCCCTGAGCCGTGTGTTACACGGCAGGTCCCTAAGACCTCTGCTGGCCCCACGTTGTCAGGGCTGGAAGGGAAAAAACAGCATCACCTGGCTAAGGGCCCGCGATTCCAGTCGGTTCTCCAGAGCCAGCTCCACGGGGGGTGGCCCCTTTGGCTTCAGGAAGTCCCCACTTTCCGTTTTGCCAACACACCTGGTTCTTGGTGTGGGGACTGAGGTGGGGGGGCAATTCAGAGGGGGCTTACTCCACGGAGCTGCTGTGTTGTCAGGCGGACAGATGGCAGCCTTCGGAGAGAGCAGGACATCCCTCCCACTCCTCTCTCATTCTCCTAGCTGCTGCTGCTGCTTTTTATGAAAAGCGTTGACCTTGTGAGGTGAGCAATGGCATGGCCATTAGGTGCCCGGCCCTGGGGTCAGGCCGTGTGGTTTGAATCCCAGCCTTAACTTTTCAGTGCCTCAATTTCCTCACCTGTGAAATGGGGTTATAGTCCCAGATATTGGGAGCATTTATGAGATAATGAGTGACGAGGTCTTGACGTGATGCCTGGTTCTCACTGACAACGGCTACTTTCTGAGCACCGAGTGGGCCAGGTGCCATGTGTACGTCACCACACGCCAGGCCCTACTCGGTTGAGCTCTAAAGCTTGGACTCTTTTTACCACATGATTTTGTCTTATGTGAGCACCTGTGTCCTTTACTCCCAATATGTTTGAAATGTCAGGGAGAGGAGACCTGCCCTCAAACAAGTGGCAGATGGTTAGGGTGTGGCAGAGGTATCCAGACGCTCTCCCTCCCTCCAGATGGGGTCCTCACAGGCCACCCGATCCCACTGTGCTCCAGGAAAGATCCCCCTTATTCCAGCCTCCTTTCCCCCAGAGCCTCCGACCTCTACACCTGTCCCAGGTGCCCATGGTCGGTGGCAGGACCATCACTATGTAAATGCATGTGCAAATGCCCTGGTGTCAAGGCGCCTGCTCCCAAGGGAGGCAGGGCCACCTCCTGAGACCGGCACTTCCCAGCCATGGGGCCCCAGGCAAGGGTGGTCTGCTCCCTGTTCCTTCTCCTGCAGGTCCTGGCAGAGCCAGCTGGGAACTCGGACTTCCACCTGGCCGGGGATTACCTCCTGGGTGGCCTCTTCAGCCTCCATGCTAATGTGAAGGGCATCACTCACCTCAACTTCCTACAGGTGCCCAAGTGCAAGGAGTGAGTCTTCAGTGTGGGGCTGGGGTGGCGGTGCAGGCTGGGTCCTGGGGTCCCTGGGGGCCAGGTGGGGATGGAGGGTGCAGGACTCCCTTTCCCATTGCCAACCCCTCTCTTCTGGGTGCACCCTGCTGGCCTCCAGGGAGGCCCCTCACAATCCACGTTACCAAACTCTCTGGAGATGTTGTTCCAGAACACTGAGACCTGGGCGGTGGCAGGATGTTTCAGCCTAGAGAGGTCTTAGAGACCATCAGGACCACCCCCGCTCACTTACACAACCGGGGGACTCCTGGTGAGTCTAGGTCAGGGCCCAGGAGGCAAAATGTGGTTTCCCCACAGCAGGTTCTCAGACTGGAAGAGGAGGCCTGCATTTTCTGATGGCTATGGTTGGGTGGGTAGGGATACTTCCAGGACTGGGGGGGAGTCTCTCCTCCGTGAGCTCCCTGAGATGGCAGCATCACTTGGAGCCTGGGTGGCCATCTTCATGTACGCATGAAGCTGGGACATGGGGCCAGCCTGGGACTATAAGATAGTGACCTCGTTCAGAGAGGATAAGGGAACTCTGGAAGACAGGGAGGAAGGAAGGAGAGTGCAAAAAGTGATTAAGGCTTGACCAGAAGAAAAACACCCGTTATGACTCTGGAGAGGGATGGTGAGGGTAGTGGTGTCAGGAATGGAATGAAGCGTGCTGTTGGGTCTTCTGATGCCTGTGATCATGGTGGGGAGTATAATGTGGGATGGTGGTGAGTTGGGGATGGTGGTGATAGTGGTGGTGAAAACAGAGGTGGTGGTAGTGGTGGTGGTGAGGATGGCTATGGTGGTGGTGATGGTGATGGTTATGGTGGTGAAGTGGTGATGGTGATGGTGGTGGTGGTGATATTGGCGGAGGTGGTGGTGATGGTGGTGGTGACGGTGGTAGTGATATTGGCGATGGTGACGGTGATGATGGTGGTGATGGTGGTGATGATGGTGGTGATGATGTTGATGATACCAATGACGAGGGTAATGGTGCTCGCGGGGATGTGGTGACATGAGACAGTGGTGGCATAGTGGGTGATGAGGGTGACAGCGGTGACGATGATGACAGAGGTTGTAGCGGGCAACAGCGGTCACATCAGTGGACATCAGTAGAGGGTGATGGAGAAGACAGGGAGTCACAGTGTCAGTGGTGGCCACAGGGACCGTGGTGACCCTTGAGATGTGGCATGTGACAATGATGTGGTGAAAATGGCAGAATCTTCTGCAGGGGCTCCTCCTTGGTCAACGCCAGGCTTTTCTGCGGTGAGGAGGAGAGGCAGGCTTGTCTTCCATCCCTTCTCCTCTTCTGCTCCCTCCCGCTGTGGTCCCCCAGGTATGAGATAAAGGTGCTGGGCTACAACCTCATGCAGGCCATGCGCTTTGCGGTGGAGGAGATCAACGGCCGCCGCAGCCTGCTGCCCGGCGTGCGGCTAGGCTACGAGATGGTGGACGTGTGCTACATCTCCAACAACATCCACCCCATGCTCTACTTCCTGGCACGGGAGGACTACTCCCTGCCCGTCCAGGAGGACTACAGCTACTACGTGCCCCGGGTGGTGGCCATCATTGGCCCTGAGAGCTCTGAGTCCGTCATGACGATGGCCAACTTCTTCTCCCTCTTCCTGCTCCCACAGGTGAGGCCCCTGAGCCCCGGAGAAGGAGCTGGGGAGGGGGGCGGAGGGGTGGCTGTCTGGAGGGCCCAGAAGCCAAGGCCCTCATCGGTCACAGAGGTGGTAACAGGTGAATCAGGCAGAACATCAACTGCTATCTTGGGAAGGCAGTCCAGCCCATGAGTAAATGCTCAGACTTCAGAGGTGGCAGCCCTGGGCGTGCGTTCTGGAACCGAGTCTTGGCCACTGCAAAGTGTTTGGCAAATCTCTTAACTTTTCTGAGCCTTAATTTGTCCACCTGTAAGGTGGACTGATAAGCATTTCAACCCAGAATTGCCTGAAGATGAGAGCGATCACCTGTGTAAGAGCTCCTAGCACACAGCAGGTAGTCGATGATGTAATTGTTATTATGTAAAGCATCTTGCACAGGAATAAAAACTCGATACATAAATAACAAGTGTTTGATATTATTCTGTACATGTTGCTGAGCGCAGGGTCTACCTCAGAGTAGATCTGCAGAGAAGGGCCATTTTAATTACTACTATTATTATAACTATTACCATCATCATGATTGAAGGTGCCTAGTACAGGACTGGGACAGAGTATCTACCCATTAAAGAGTGGCTGGTGAGCCGGGCGCGGTGGCTCACGCCTATAATCCCGCGCTTTGGGAGGCTGAGGTGAGTGGATTGCCTGAGCCTGCAGGTTTGAGACCTGCCTAGGCAACTTGGCGAGACCTCATCTCTACAATAAATCAAAAAATTATTAGCCGGGCATGGTAGTGCACGCCTGTAGTTCTAGCTACTTGGAAGGCT